TTGTATATGGTGAGAGATAGGGATCCAGTTTCATTCTTTTTCCCAGCACCATTTATTGAATAGGATGTGTTTTCCCAGTATATGTTTTTGTATGCTTTATTAAAGGTCAGTTGGTTCTAGGTACATGGCTTTAAGGTTTATAAAATATTTTAAATGTGCATTTTTGTGATATCTGTGACATATTATTACTAGATCATTATTGCAAAACATCAGGGAGCATATTCTCTTTATATCCATCTTATATTTGGAAAAGCAAATAGGTTAAGGGACTCATCAAAGTTTACAGAGCTGTTTATTGAAAAAGCCAGAAAAAGAACTGAACCATTGTCTTGCACATTATGCTTTATTTTCTTTGACATATTCTTTACATAATGTTTAAGAAAAAAATATTATCACAATTGAAAGCATTAAAGTGAGAAATTTTAGTCATCACAAAATCATGATTACAGATAATGGACCAAACTCACAGGGATTTATAGATTAATAATTAGTTATCCTTAATTTTGATATATGCAATGCTAAAAATTTTAGACCAGAGAATACAAGAATTATCTATAAATTAGTTGTAGTTACAAAGAATTATCTAAAAATATTCTTCTTTTGTGGTTTTTATTATCTTTCTCTTTCTCTCTGTCCCCTTCTCAATTTTTTTAATGAATATATATTTATTTTTTAACTCAACATAACATTTGCATATATTCCTACTAATGAGAAATCATGGCTTAAGTTTATATCCAGGCAATTGCAGTAGTGGTAGAATTTTCATTCAATGTGTTTGATTTACAGGATTTCAAACTTCAATAGCATTAGTCTTTTGCTAAATACTTTTGTCATTTGCAATCTACCTTTTTTCACTATGAAATTAGCTTCCTCATAAGAAGTGTTGTATCCCAATTATACAGTTTGTTTTCTAGTGAGTCTTCTTAAAAGTATGAGAGATGCTTTTCATAATCTGATGTTTGATTCCCTATAATCCTGTCTCATTTGTGACATGGTGTTTTAATGGTATTAGTGTTTTTATTTTTTGTTTTTCTGAAAAATCATTTTAAAAAGTTATAGAGATATCGTAATAATTTCTGTACAGCATTTTATCAGATCATTTAAAATAACATTATTAAATTTAAGTACATGTTTTCAAAGATATACAAATAAAGAGACTGTTAAGTGTTTTTTCAAGCTACTGAAAAAAAAAGGAGAGAGAGGCTCTGTCCACATGTTTGAAGATATATTTTGAGCTGATTTAATTTTTAGACCTATGTCACTTGTGTGTAGGTGTGTTTATGTGATTGTCCCTCCTGGGGGAGGGAACTGGTACCACTAGGTGGGATTTTCCCCCCAGAGCAATTGAATAGACTGATGAATAGTTTTAATATGATGTAAAAGCAGTTGCAGCTCTGTGTTACTAGGATTTTGGTTCAAACGTTTCACTGAGCATGAAGTCAACTAAACCAAATAATAATGATGAAAATAATAATACCACTAGACAATGAACAAAAGACAGATTTTGAAAAGAGATTAAAAGCAGTAGAAATATTGCTTACTTGGTTTGAGTGTTTGAAATCGTCAAGATCTTCTTGCTTTTGACAGAGAATGAAAATTTCATGTTAATTATTATCTTTTAAAATATATTGACTCTAGAAATGTTTACCATTAACTGTTATCTAAACTTGGTGGGGAAACTTTTCTCCATATTGAGTCTCTGTCAACATTTACTGTATAATTATATAATTTTTTTGAGTATCAATATCTAGTTTTTTTTTATTCTACAGAGTATCATATAAGTAAAATTACAAGTCATAAAAGAATGCTTTGTCCAGCTGATCTTTATTTTAGGAAGTGAAGTATAAAATCATGGCTTATGTGAAAAATATTGAATATTTAGAAACTGGAGAGATGTATAGTTGAAATGAATGGATATATGGGGAGGATAATATGGATGTACGAATATATGGACAGATAGTTATTGATCTACCCACGCACAGGAGAGGATAGAGTGGGAACGTAAGAAAGCACCCCCTTAGATTTTTGAGGAGCACGGAGAAAGTAATATGAATATTTTTCAAAGTCAGTTTTCAAAGTTGAAAGGAAATGGAATGGAAAGTATTTGATAATTCTTAAAGAGTATGTCTCTACAAATGAACAAAGACCCATAATACTTAATAAAAATTCTGTCAATTGATGATGGATATTTTTTTGTTTCATGGTATGTAATAACTAGCTTTCAGTGTTGTACTTTCTCTGTAGACTTGGCCCAGTTGGCTAAGCTGTTTGGTGGCTTTCAGGTGATATGACTGTGAGTCCAGATTGTTCCCTGCCAGGACCTTGAGTCAAGTCATTCATCCATGGTCCTCTTCTGTGGGCCTTCATAATGGACAAACTCCATTGTCAGAAACTCACCAGCTCTGACTCTGGGTTGGAGAATATGTACTGTATATAAGTATATACTGCTAATGATGACTACATTCCCTGACAAGCACCACAAGCCCAATCATGATTTATTCTGTGAGCTATCTTCATTCCAACAACTTTAAAGATGTCCCAAAATATTTCCCCTCTCTCTCTAGCTTTTGCCTGTCCTTGTTCTCTCTCCCCTTCCCCTCTCCACCCGCCTTCTCTTCACACCTCTAATAATATCAGATTAAATATTCTCATTGGATTGGAATTGGATGACAAACATCTGAGGATATAACTAGTGTCATATGCTTTTAATTTTATAATATGATTTTGAATTTTAAAAACTCTTACAATGAAACAGGTTTGAATATGTCTTCGATATCCAGATAAAATGTTACCACCTTAAACTGGAAAAATATCTTGAAAGTTTTGAAGAAGAAGAGATGAAGAAAAGAGAACACATGATAAGAGGAAGGAAGTAGAAGGTGTTAAACTTTAGTAAATATAGAAACAATAAAAATAGACATTAGGAATTAGAGCAACAAATGAATAGCTCTACTAAGGCATGAAGTGCTTTAAAAGCAGCAATAAGGAAATGTAGCTTTTTTGTGACCCAAATGCATGACAATTTTCAGTGAATACTTAAAAACTGTACCTAACTTCCTTGGTTTTTGATATTTATTTGGTTGACCTACTTAATTGCTCTTGAAGTCTCCTGATTTCATTTAAACTGTACTCTGATGTTTCAATGTGATCATTCAGGCTTTATCTAGAACCAAGTGTTTGTGTGGTCCACTAAAAGATAATCAACTAGTAAAGTAGTATTATTAAGATAATATAAAAAATAGTGTTTTCCTTTATCTTATAGAGCACTAATAATTCTTAACATTTGAGTAATATATTCACTGTAAGTATTCACACAGATATATATCAGCTTTTCTCAAACTGTTTCATATAATTCAGATAACCCACAACTCACATGTTCCACATGACATTAATAAGTATTCCAAAAAACAGGCTCTTTTGTTAAATTGGTTTGCAAAATGTTTCATATGCTATATATCTTCCTCTTAGAGTTTTATAGAGTCCATTTGCATATTAATGGCTCTGAGAGGCCTTTCAATAATATAATAATACTGATGATGCTGTTAAACCAAATCTATTTCCTAAACAGTTTGAGAAATGACAAAATATGTACAGTGAATTACATGGCTGAATTTATTAATGGAAAAATGTTACACTGTTATAGCAATTAAGGTATAACCTAATATCACAGTCTCTCCTCACTCTTACAAATAATTGTCCCTTTATTTGAGAAAGATTTATATGGTCATGTCCTAAAGTTTACAAATATAGACTAGAAACTAGATTATTAATAAGCACTTCCCCACCACTTCCCTATATGAATGAAACTTTCCTGTACTTTTAATCCCTTTCTTCCCCTTTTGCTTTTTCCTTAATCTTTTAGCTCCATTGCCAAAAATACCTTTCTGAATCTGGATGCAGCCCATCACTGTTTGGGAAAACGTTTTATTCATGCTGGTCTGCTTTTATCTACTTTCCAGCTTTATTCTTTAGCTCTGTCCTGTTAACATACCTTTCCTTCTTCAGGAAGCTCCTCTTTCTATACTGTGTTCAGCCCAAACCTGCTCTGTGTTTTCTCACATATGACAAGAAATACAAACATGTGCCAAAATGTAAGCAACATTCCCCTTATGAGCCATATTGACATTATTTTTTTTTTTTTTTCTGAGACAGAGTCTCACTCTATTGCCCAGGCTAGAGTGCCATGGCGTCAGCCTAGCTCACAGCAACCTAAACTCCTGGGCTCAAGCAATCCTCCTGCCTCAGCCTCCTGAGTAGCTGGGACAACAGGCATGCGCCACCATGCCCGGCTAATTTTTTCTATATATTTTTAGTTGGCCAATTAATTTCTTTTCTATTTTTAGTAGAGACAGGGGTCTCGCTCTTGCTCAGGCTAGTTTCGAACTCCTGACCTTGAGCGATCCTCCCTCCTCGGCCTCCCAGAATGCTAGGATTATAGGCGTGAGCCACCGCACCTGGCCCATATTGACATTTTAATATGGAACAATTCTAGCATTGCACAGGACTGAATCTCATGCAGTGCGATGCCAGCCCCCCACACGTGATGCTCCTTATTCAGTTTCACAGGTCCATATGGAGGCCTCTGGCAGACTGGAGGAGGGTTGGATAGCTCTTGGTCTACTGGTCTACCTGGTCCTACGCATTGAGCTTTCAAGAGTGACTGATGAGGAGAATACAAAATGCCAATGTCTTTAATTTGAGAAACAACACTAGCACCAAATAACAGCTTCTTTGTATTAATCCACACGGAAACCCATCTTTTCATTGATGTGCACATAGTAACCTTAACGGCCTTGCATAAAATGTCTTTCAGGTATCTGTTTTTCAAACACTGGCAAATCCAATTTAGCCACCACTTATTTTTGTTCTTCTCCTATCCCTGGATCATTCTGCATTCTACTCTCTGTCACCAAAGTGCCCCTGGGGATATTGTCTATGTATCTGATTGGTCTCAAAGATGTTTACCTGAACAGTAAACCAGTGCCTGTCTTTGCCTACAGGAGTGCGTCTTGACAGAGTACGTGGAGGTCGGCAGAAGTATAAGCGCAGAATAGACGCGGAGAACAGCCCATACCTGAACCCTCAGCTGGTTCAGCCAGCCAAAAAGCCATGTAAGTACAGCAGCTGTGTCTGGCTTCCCGGAACATGAAACCCTCCCAGTTGGCTCTTTGTACACCAGCTTTGGCATGCCCATCCGTACCGACTCCAAGGAGACTTCTCTTTGTTGGAGAACAGTGGCTCTATTCCCAAGGATTGTCTGTGAGGAGCACCAGCAACTCAGCTAATTATCTTTTTTTCTTCTTCTTCTTTTAGAGATGTTTGTGGTTTTCTCTCCCCAGCCTTTATTCACCTAGTCATTTTGTGGGAGCATGAGCATTTTAATGCATAGCTTATATAGTGTGAATTTTACATTTACTGGTTATCTTTATTTGCAGAGGTACATAAAATGGATCATACTATGATCATTAGTTCATTGGAGCTGTTAGTCTCAGATTTCACAAGAAAGTGATTTTTGTAGTTTTCACTAAGTAAATGAGTTTGACTGCTCAACCTCCCAATGAAAATACATTAGGGGCCTCATTAATTTGGAGCTATAGAAGGTTAACACACTAGCTAGCAATAGATTAAAACAAGAATGGGCCCTACTAATAATAAGCATAGGTTGCTGGTTCCATCTGAGATGCCCTTATAGGCATTATGAACTGTTTTTAAAGAGCCCATGGTTTTATGATGCCAGGTTGCAATTTGAAAGGATGACTGGTACATTGCTAAAATGCAAGCCCCATTCTCTTTGTCATTAACTAAAAAGAGCTGGAATATAGATTGAGGCAGTAACTGTATCCCATTTTCTGAAATATCAGTTAATAGTTGTGCAACAGAGCTAGCATTTTGGGATGTTTATGCATAGGATTCATACTAAGCACTGAGAAGTGCTTTGGTGCAAACAATTCTCACATTCAGCTGTCTTTGTCTAAGAAGACACAACCAACACTCACCGTAGGAAGTTGCCTCTATAGCACTTACCAGAAAAGGCATGAGTAGGTTTTGATCCGCTTTCAAGGGAAGAGAAAGTGTCCACTCCTTATTCATATTCTCCAGGAGGGGTCACTGCTGTGTGTCACACATGTGAGCATATGGGACTCTGTTAAATAAATAAAACAGACCCTGAACTGTAAATGAAAGGACATTTTAGCTATGTCAAAGGAAAAACAACCAGTTTTACATAAAATTAAAGCTTAAGTGAACATATGGCATAGTTTCCTTTTGCCTTTCCAAAAAACATTATGTTGATTATACCTTCAACTGTCCAATCTGGCATCTTCTCCTCAGTCTGCATAAGCTGTTTGGCGTTCTGGAAATACAATCTAGGACTGCATTAAGCTGATTTTGCACATTATAATAAAAAAACTTTCTGATAATACAATAAAATGCAATAAACACTAATGCTTAATTTCATTAGAGGTTTAGTTTTCCTGAATTCAATAATATACAGACTGCCCGTTTCTCATGTATCATAGACAAACATTGACTGAAACCATTGATAATTTCCTCTACTGAAAGAAAAATGAACGCCAGCCCATTTGTAAGTGGACATAATAGAGAAACACCTGTGGTTTTCTTTGTAAACCTGAGATATTGGGAAGTGGCTTGTCAAGTACCTTTAAGAAGATTACAGCAATTTCAGTGAGCTCCATTTGTCTGAGATAAAGAGGGCTTCTAATAAATCATTACTCATTATCTAAAGGCCTCTGTGTTAATTTTCCTTAGTCCATCCAATTAGTATGTTTTCGTAACAAACATTTATAAAACTTAATTTTCAGATCCTGTCAGATAAGTGTCAAGAGACTGTGCCTGGGCTTTGCCGAGAGGCTGGGGAGACTTCTGGACCCTGGCTGATTGTGTACTACAAAGGCCCAAGAATGGAAATTGGGTTCTATTGATTCTAATTAGGAAAACATTAAATACGATTTACCTAGAAAGTGTGCTGCCGGCTATTCCATTTTCTGAATTAGGGGAATTTCTAAGCTCCAACCAAATTTCTCTCAACCCTCAAGTCAAGTATCCGTTGACTTGGGTTAAAGCTAGTACCTTTTCCCTATACTAAAAAAAAAAAAAATTAGAATCATTATTTCTTCCAGCTACAATTTGGTGCCCTTTGTTATTGCATTTTCTTCTAATCCTGAGAATCTAGTGGGTGCTGACAGGTTTTGTTGCTTTGTCAGAGCAATGAAAGTTGAGACTTTCTCAAGCATGACTAAAAATACAGGGTGTTGTTTCTGTAGCATGGACGAGAAACAAATGTCATTCTTTTCAGATCCTGCAAATTAAAAAGAATCTCTGTTTAATTTTTAATTTTTTTTTCTAGAAAATATGGTATTTGGGAATACTTCCTCCCAAATCTGCATATTTAATTTGAGGACAATTGAGTACTGCTGCCGATGACTGCTTATCTGTTGACTACTTGAAATCAATATAATTAATATGGCAGCCATATTAGTAAAGTTTAAAAATTTTATGTCAGAAAAAGTGTTAATTAAAGCTTGAATAAGTCTCATTATTTCATGACAGGAGACTTAAAAGCATGCTATATTCTAAGTTATGTGAAGTCTATTCTTTTCAGGTTAAAAAAGTTAAAGACTTAGAGTGAAAGGCAAATGGTCTGGGAAACACAATGAAAACTTTGGCTTTGTTCACCAAAAATCCCCTATAATGCCCTGATTTTCTAAAGTAATACTACATAGACTATTTAAATATGGGGGTTCATTCTTACCCATTTGTATCTCTTCATTTAGAGGAAAGTATAAACTCTAAAGCTACATATAGACATTGAAAATAGGGCCGCCAAGAAAAATCATTCTGTTAGTGAGGTTTTACAGCCCCTTCCATAAAGCCTCACATGCCCCTGAGCCATAAAACACATCTGATGTGATGCTTTCCATTTGTCTCTAGTGTTTATTTTATGAAGGATTTTAAAAACATATATCACAAATTTCAGACAGATAAATCTGAAACAGAGAATGAACTAAGGACAACCGATGAAAATAGAGGATGAAAGAATTGGACACTCAGAAGAGAAAATACTATGAAATTTAAGTAGGAGTATTTTTATGGACACTGATAGTAGCTATATTTGGAAGGCTGACTGGGTGTGTGGGGAGGGGGAGAAAAGAAAGAAACTCCTACTTAATGCATCCCACGGAGATAGAGTTATATAGTCAGTAATTCACCCAGGCAGAAGGGCTCTGACCTATGCTCTTCTTTAAAGGAATTAAGACAATTAATGGCTTTCATGCCCATTATGGCTATGGGTATTAGTAGTGCTTTGCCTCCCACATTATGGTACATATTTCAGTGGTTTACTGTGGGTTTTTATTGTAAAACTGTTGTATACTATTTAATCTACTTCCCCAAATCCCACTTAAGAATCAAAGAGCAAACCCAGAAAGCATCTAACTTCTCTTATCTGTTCACCATAAAAATTTTCACTACAAGACAGATGCTTCATTCCAGCCAAAGCAGGTAGAACAAATAAAGGCATGCATTCTGTTATGACTGCACTAGCTTTATTTCATGCTACGAGTTTTCCTGAACACTGTTTACTATGCATATATTAAACCATAAATGGAATATTTGGGGCTTATCGTAGGCTGCTTGAGTTATTTTTCAAAACACAAAATACATTAGGGTTTATAAAAGAGGGATGATACTCCTAGTGATCTTGTAGTGCTCTGGTCTGATCCTGCAGATAACAAGATTGTCTCACATTTGTTGGTGGCTGAACCGGAGAAGATCTATGCCATGCCCGACCCTACTGTCCCTGACAGCGACATCAAAGCCCTCACTACACTGTGTGACTTGGCCGACAGAGAGTTGGTGGTGATCATTGGATGGGCGAAGCATATTCCAGGTACATTTTCTGAACAGAAAAAGAAAAGGTTGCAATCAATTACCTAGGTTATGTATGCAGATTTGGACAAATCCAAAATTTTCTCATTAGGTTTTTGTAAAAAATCTCTACGTCTGTTTTTAATCACACTTAATTCAGAATCGTGCTGATCCTAATGGAATCATAAATGTTTATATATTTGTGCCACCTTGAGATCTTGTTATTTTTTTCATATATAAAGATCCTATTGCCAATGTAAGATAAAGAGATTATGACTTTTAAAAATATTGCTTTATTCCTTTTAAAATTCTGAGCTTTTTCCTAAGGAAATACTTCTATTTTTTTTCTTTTCACTTTAAAAAATGTTTTTGTCAACAGTCAGTAGTCTGATGTACTTTTTTCCGTTTAAGAATCACTCATTTTGTTGATCATGGTGGCTAGTTATATTGAATTGTTATTCAAATATAACTTTCACAAGCTTTGCTTTGGTTTACAATTAGATATTTATCATAAATTTATGTATAACTTACAAAAATAAATGTTAAACTGACATAGTAAGTTTTCTCATACAATAACTTAAAGTTAATATTTTAAAATATTCTATTACCTCTTTTTTCCTTGACCCATCCTGTAACAGTAAGCATAGACTTGATCATAAGTTTTGAGAATTTTAGTACTCTGCTTGACGTATTTTTTTTACTTGTTCGAACTTTGGTTTTCAAATAGTTTATAAGCAAGTTTTTGAACGATGAGCGATATTTTTCTGGTACAGTTAACTTATTTCTGCCTCCTTAAACTAGTTTGTCTTTATGCTTTGAATGCTACAGTAATTTCTTTAATCAAATTGATGGAAGTCCCTTTCCCAGCCCACACTGAAACCAATTTATTGGTCATGATACGCCAGCTATGTTGCTAACAGTCGTAACGAACTGTCAGGCTATATCGCAGTGAGGCTAATTTGAAGTCATTAGGTGTGCAGCGTTCAGGCGACAATTTGTTACAGTGGTTAGCAACACAGCTGACATTTCTGAATGGCTTTGTTCGTTTCAGTTCTAGATGAGGCCAAGCAAATTGTAAACTAATTTAAACATCACTCTGTATTATACCAGCTACTTTGTCTTACACTGTTTGCTAATAAAGCCCCCTAAATTAAGTCAAAACTAGTTAAATAGGTGAGCTTGAGTGTATTTCTTAGAAGACACCTACACAAGGATTACTAGATCTAAAAGGAGGATGAGAATTTGATCGTGTGATCCCTGATACCGCATTTGGACTGTAATTACATCTCTGTGACTTTTAGAAAAATATTTTTTTTTAGAAGGGCTCTACCGAAAGCTGTTAAGGCATTTTGGTAACGATAGCAGTGGGAACAGCCGGAATTGGCTTCAACATTATATGAAGACTCATTTGGAAGGAAAGTGTTATTGAAAGGTTTTAGAGCAGAAAGAAACAAAGCTGACATTTGTTGTTGAAGTATCCAAAGACAATTGATATATATTATATCATTTATATTAGTAGAGTACATCATTATGTATGTATACATATATGCATATGTACAATACACACACGTATTTAAAATGTCATTGTTGTAGCCCAGGGTTTCTCAGCCTTGAAACTATTGATATTTGGATTTTGTGGTGGTGGGGAGGGGTGTCCAGTTCATTGTGGGATGCTTAGTGGCACCCTTGGCCTCTATCCACTATGGCACCCCTGAGTTGTGACGAACCAAAATGTCTTCAGACATTGCCAAATGTCCTCAGGGATTTTGCAAAATCAAGCCGGCCTCACCCTCCTCCTCACAATTGAGACTCATTGTTCTAACCCAGGAATCAGGTATTACTGTCCTCAATTCAGAGACAGGGAGATTTGAGACAGAGAGAGATAAAAACACTTGCAAAAGTTCACAAAGGTATTCGGCACCTTCCAAACATATATTCAGCATTGCTTCCTGGAGTAGAATGGGGATATTTTAGTCACCAGTTAATTGCATTTGATTGAAAGAACTATTTCAAAATAATAATGATGATAGTATCATTGTTATTAACAGCGACAGCTCGAAAGGCTCTGTCACTATGATTCCAAACCACCCTTTATTGCAGAGAATTCTGCTCAGGTTCTCCCTGATTTAAAAGATTTGTTAAACCAATATTTTGATATCATACAGACATGCCATAATAAAGCCCAATAAAAGTCAACAGTTCCTTCCAAGGCTTCTGGTAAAGAAAAGTTAATAATAAATTTGCAGGTCCATTTGTGCATCTAAGTAGAAATGTCAGCTCACAAAGGAACTTGTCACAGTGAAGGAGCTCCAGTGACTTTCGTAGAGATGGTAACTTTAAATAGCTATGAGTAATACCATTTCCAGTGGTGGAAACAATTACTATACGATTATGTGTTCAGTCTTAAGCTGAGGCTTAGAACTGGTGGGGACTGACGTTAGTCTCTCTCCATAGCAAATGCCAGAGGAGTTCACCGTGGAGTGATGATTCATGGCTCTGATTTTCGTGAGACCCGAGGGTGTTTTAAACGATTGCAAGGAGTATCTTGGCGTGTCAAGAGAGGGATTAGCAAAACAAGAATTAACTGAAATTTTGAAAAACTAATTTTTTTAATAATACCGATGCCATACAGTGTTTTGAGATGGAAGGAGAAGGTGCTTACAGTATCAAGGCTTAGCCTGGGTTCAGCGAGGTTGGGTAATACAGGACCACACAGCAGCTCTGTGGGGCACTAAATAGGGAAGTAAAGGCAAAGGGAAAGTAAAGATTAAAGTCACATATCTGCCTTGATGAAAAATAAAATCATGTTCTTGATAACATGAACCAGTCTTGATGACTAGGGCCAGAGCCGGAATTAAAGCCAAATCAAAGCTGAAATTCCACTTGTCTTAGTCTTAACTTTAAAACTCTTTGTTTTTGTAAAGCTTGTGTTAAAATTTAAGTGAAGGTTTTTGTTTTTTTTTTTCTGATATCCCAAAATTTAAACCTTTGTTATCTTTATGTTGTTCTCAGTGTGTGTAATTACACACAAGCACACACACATATATATTTTAAATTAAGTTTAGCATCTAAGATAAGGTCGGTAGTTTTCCTGCACTGCTTCAAATGTACTTTCGTACACTTGCTTTTGCTATATAAAAAAGTGAAGAATTCAACAAAAGAAAACATTGAAAAAAAATACATATAGGGTGGGTTCTTTTTATCAGTAAATAGAATTAGTTGACTTACATTAATAAATCATATAAATGGGAAAGTGTGTTGTTATGAAACATGACCATACTTTATCTATAGAAGAAAAAAGATCACAAGGGCTTTAGAAAATGCTTGACTTTAGTTGGAGGAGCATAAGGGCACAAGAACAGATGATGGTGCCCTAATAGCCCTTTTTAAGAATGACAGGGCCCAGCCATTAGCATCCTTTTATATCCTTGGAAATTGCTCATGCCTCGCTTTTCTGGTTCCTATCTGCCTGACTCTTTTTTATTTCTCTTTCAATTTCGTCCGCGCTCGGATAAGCGCATGCTAACACAATATGATTGAGCTGTAAAATGGAACGCTGTCGGCTCTAATCTCTTTTATGTAGATACGGAGGTACTGCACACTCCACTTCATTCTCTCTCCATTGTTGGCCTTTTTTAGAATTGGTTGCCAAGTAATGGAGGCCCCGTCAAATATTAGAGCTAGGTTTCACAGGGTGTGATAAGACAATTATCAGCCCAACAGTCAGATCTATTATTGTTCTTTGTGGTTGATTAAAATATTATTATGTACTGTCACTTTGTTAGCAAAATGTAGAATGTGCTTGGTCAGATGGTGCTTAAAAAAGCATAACCCATATTAGCTGACCTATATAAGTGGCTTAAATATATTTATGGATCTTGCTAGACAACTTACTTTAAAAGAACAGAAAGGTATTTTAACAATTAAGTGAATGAATGCATTTTAGAAAAATGTTTTCATTTTCAACATGGCAAACTTTCAAGTCAGCTTGTTTATTTTTAACATGACAAATTAAATGATTACCTATTAAAGAAGGAGGACTTTGCTCAAATTCGGGTGCCTCTTAGTCACATTTTTAAAATGATATCTATTGCAATGATAGCAAACAGAAAAAAGAACCCTAATTTTTCTCCATACCAAGTGGAGGCAGGAGATATTAAACTGTAAAAGAAAACCACACTAGGAGTTCATGTGATCGAATAGTCCTTAAGTATATTTATTTATTCGTGTTAAGAAACAGAAATTTAAATTATAGAAAACCAACATTTTCCATTTATCCTGAAACATTTTTTGTGAAAACATTCAGTAAGGACACTGTATCAAAAATTGCTCGTTGACTTGGTTTTTTTATAATTTTCTCAGAAGTATTTAGACTTTTCCAGCAATGGCAGAAATCTGTAAAGAATATGGATAAACTATTTCTCCATTTAGGGTATAAGTTTTGGGAAAGAATATCCAAGAATGTTTGAATATTTATTGTTAATGATACAATAAATATTCAGTATGCTTGAAGGTATATGTATTTTTCTAACAAATTTTATGTAGAAACCAATTTTTAAGATTATATTATCCTGCAATCAAAATTGTAGAGGCTTCATTTTTAAAATATTCATTACTGGGTATTGGTGGATATCTTAAACTGGTAGCACCATTGAGAGATTAGGATATATGCAAAAGCACACACACAAAAGTGACATAATAATTGCTATAAGATTATATTTCCATTTGTAATGAAAAATATGTTTCCATGTATAGGCTGGGTGTGGCAGGTCATGCCTATAATCCTAGCAATTTGGGAGGGTAAGGCAGGAGGATTGCTTGAGCCCAGAAGTTCAGGACCAGCTTGAGCAAGATTTAGACCCCATCTCTACAAAAAATATAAAAATTAGCTGGGCGTGGTGACACATCTGTAGTCCCAGCTACTTGGGAGGCTGAGGCAAGAGGATTGCTTGAGCCCAGGAGTTTGAGGTTACAGTGAGCTATGATGACACCACTGCATTCTAGCCTGGGCAACAGAGTATC